CCTCCAGGGTGAAGTAGAATTGCAACTGTTAAGCAGGTCATTTGTAGACAGACATCGGATGGATCGTTGCGCTGATTGGGTTTAAATCCTTGGAATTAGGATGTCTTTAAAGAACTCAATTTGTCCTGATTGGAGCCGTGGTCACCCTTCTATTGCACTCTGTACATGTGGATCATACAAAAAGCAGTAATTCCATCTATACAAAACGTCACCTCGATGTACACTGTATCAACTGAATTAAGTGTATTTCTCCTTTCTTGTAATGTAACCTGTAAAGTGCTGAGTACACCTGTTAGCACTATATAAATATAATATACATACACTGTATACCTACTGCACTTACTGTACCTCCCTCTACTGTAATGTAACCTGTAAAGTGCTGAGTACACCTGTAAGCGCTATATAAATAAACTATACATACACTGTATACCTACTGCACTTACTGTACCTCTCTATACTGTAATGTAACCTGTAAAGTGCTGAGTACACCTGTTAGCACTATATAAATAAATATACATACATTGTATACCTACTGCACTTACTGTACCTCCCTCTACTGTAATGTAACCTGTAAAGTGCTGAGTACACCTGTTAGCACTATATAAATAAATATACATACATTGTATACCTACTGCACTTACTGTACCTCCCTCTACTGTAATGTAACCTGTAAAGTGCAGAGTACACCTGTTAGTGCTATATAAATAAAATATACATACACTGTATACCTACTGCACTTACTGTACCTCCCTCTACTGTAATGTAACCTGTAAAGTGCTGAGTACACCTGTTAGCGCTATATAAATAAAATATGCATACACTGTATACCTACTGCACTTACTGTACCTCCCTCTACTGTAATGTAACCTGTAACGTGCTGAGTACACCTGTTAGCGCTATATAAATAAAATATACATACACTGTATACCTACTGCACTTACTGTACCTCCCTCTACTGTAATGTAACCTGTAAAGTGCTGAGTACACCTGTTAGCGCTATATAAATAAAATATACATACATTGTATACCTACTGCACTTACTGTACCTCCCTCTACTGTAATGTAACCTGTAAAGTGCTGAGTACACCTGTTAGCGCTATATAAATAAAATATACATACACTGTATACCTACTGCACTTACTGTACCTCCCTCTACTGTAATGTAACCTGTAACGTGCTGAGTACACCTGTTAGCGCTATATAAATATAATATACATACATTGTATACCTACTGCACTTACTGTACCTTTCTCTACTGTAATGTAACCTGTAAAGTGCTCAGCACACCTGTTAGCGCTATATAAATATAATATACATACACTGTATACCTACTGCACTTACTTTACCTCCCTCTACTGTAATGTAACCTGTAAAGTGCTGAGTACACCTGTTAGCACTATATAAATAAAATATACACACACTGTATACCTACTGCACTTACTGTACCTTTCTCTACTGTAATGTAACCTGTAAAGTGCTCAGCACACCTGTTAGCGCTATATAAATATAATATACATACACTGTATACCTACTTCACTTACTGTACCTCCCTCTACTGTAATGTAACCTGTAACGTGCTAAGTACACCTGTTAGCGCTATATAAATAAAATATACATACACTGTATACCTACTGCACTTACTGTACCTCCCTCTATTGTAATGTAACCTGTAAAGTGCTGAGTACACCTGTTAGCACTATATAAATAAAATATACATACACTATATACCTACTGCACTTACTGTACCTCCCTCTACTGTAATGTAACCTGTAACGTGCTGAGTACACCTGTTAGCACTATATAAATAAAATATACATACACTGTATACCTACTGCACTTACTGTACCTCCCTCTACTGTAATGTAACCTGTAATGTGCTGAGTACACCTGTTAGCACTATATAAATATAATATACATACACTGTATACCTACTGCACTTACTGTACCTCCCTCTACTGTAATGTAACCTGTAAAGTGATGAGTACACCTGTTAGTGCTATATAAATAAAAATACATACACTCAGGGGCGTACTAGCCGCGAGGCAAACAAGGCATTTGCCTTGGGCGGCATTTTTCAGGGGGCGCTAAAAAAGCCGCCCCCAAATGCCCAGGGCAAATGCTTAGTTAGCCTCGCGGCTAACAGACATCCCGAGCGGGCAGCGCTGGGCAGCCGGCGAGGGAGCTCTTCCCCTGAGCGCTCTGCTCAGCTCCCTCGCGTGCCGCCGAGTGAGGCTGGGAGCCGGAAGATGATGTCATATTCCGGCTCCCGGCCTCACTCTGCTGGCGGCGCGCGAGGGAGCTGTGCAGAGCGCTCAGGGGAAGAGCTCCCTCGCCGGCCGCCCAGCGCTGCCCGCCCGCCCTGCACCAACTGGACCCCAGGTAGAGGAAGAACCCCCCCAGCATTCCCAAAGGTAAGGAGGCTGGGGGGGTTAAATAAAAAAAAAACACAAGTGAGTGTGTGTGTGTGTGTGTCTGTTAGTGTGTGTGTGTGTGTGTCTGTTAGTGTGTGTATGTTAGTGTGTGTGTGTGTGTCTGTTAGTGTGTGTGTGTGTGTTTGTCTGTTAGTGTGTTTGCCTGTTAGTGTGTGTCTGTTAGTGAGTGTGTGCGTGTCTGTTAGTGAGTGTGTGCGTGTCTGTTAGTGAGTGTGTGCGTGTGTCTGTTAGTGAGTGAGTGTGTGTTAGTGAGTGAGTGTGTGTCTGTTAACTAGTGAATGCGTATCTGTCAGTGAATGTGTGTGTGTGTGTGTGTGTGTGTATTTAGAAGGCGGAGCAGGGGGGAGGGTTGGGTGGCGGTTGCGCGGGTGGGGGTAGCGTAGGGGGGTGCCTGAGTTTTGTCCTGCCTAGGGCAGCACAAAACCAGGATACACCACTGCATACACTGTATACCTACTGCACTTACTGTACCTTCCTCTACTGTAATGTAACCTGTAAAGTGCTGAGTACACCTGTTAGCACTATATAAATAAAATATACATACACTGTATACCTACTGCACTTACTGTACCTCCCTCTACTGTAATGTAACCTGTAAAGTGCTGAGTACACCTGTTAGAGCTATATAAATAAAATATACATACACTGTATACCTACTGCACTTACTGTACCTCCCTCTACTGTAATGTAACCTGTAAAGTGCTGAGTACACCTGTTAGCGCTATATAAATAAAATATACACTGTATACCTACTGCACTTACTGTACCTCCTTCTACTGTAATGTAACCTGTAAAGTGCTGAGTACACCTGTTAGCGCTATATAAATAAAATATACACTGTATACCTACTGCACTTAATGTACCTCCTTCTACTGTAATGTAACCTGTAAAGTGCTGAGTACACCTGTTAGCGCTATATAAATAAAATATACATACATTGTATACCTAGTGCACTTACTGTACCTCCCTCTACGGTAATGTAACCTGTAAAGTACTAAGTACACCTGTTAGTGCTATACAAATATAATATACATACACTGTATACCTACTGCACTTACTGTACCTCCCTCTACTGTAATGTAACCTGTAAAGTGCTGAGTACATCTGTTAGCGTTATATAAATAAAATATATACTGTATATTGTACCTGCACTTACTGTAACTCCCTCCACTGTAATGTAACCTGTAAAGTGCTGAGTACACCTGTTAGTGCTATAATATACATACACTGTATACCTACTGCACTTACTGTACCTCCTTCTACTGTAATGTAACCTGTAACGGGCTGAGTACACCTGTTAAAGCTATATAAATAAAAGATACTTATACTGTATACCTACTGCACTTACTGTACCTCCCTCTACTGTAATGCAATGTATACTTACTCTGTATATACATAATCTGTATACTAACATTGTTATTGTTCTAAATAATCTTTTATTTGTATAAATTGTCACCTAATATTTCTCAGAACAGCCCCTCCCCTCACCACTCTCTCGTGCACACCCCTAAAATGAAAGTGTCCCTCTTTGTCCAGTTATAATATTGGGAGGTATGGTGATGTAACCTGCAGAGTGTTGCTAAACCTGTTGTAAAATATGTGTTTGTCTAAGAACGTACTTTAATCAGCTGATAATTGTTTAGCTAAATGTTTCTATACGTACATACATAAACAATGCTGGCAGCCATTGTATGTCACAGCATGGCATAGTGTTAAAAGCATTGGATAGAAAAAACACCCATGGCACATCTGAAATCCCTAGCTCACACGAGGGGGTGAAGTAGTATCCCTTGTAGTTTGCTCACAGTATTCACCACTAGATGGGGGCCAACTTATTCCCAATTTAGCATTCACACAGCCCTCCTCTCTATGAGAATGGTTTTATAATGCCTCTTTAGTCTTTCTGGCACTCGTGCTGTTAAGATAAAAAATATTTGGAAATTGTAAGTGCCAAAATCTTGACAGAATTGTGGAATCTTTATAGCAGGGTGTCTGAAACAAAGACGAATGTTCTGCTTCCATGTGTACTGTGGGTGTAATAAAGGCCGCACACCCACTGTCTCGATGCCAACTGGCATCAAACATGTTGGATTTTCATTACATGCCTGTCATAATGACATGTCTCTAGCTCGCTGTCTCTTTTTGAACTTTTGTTTTTCAGTAAAATTACGCAAACTTATACATTTGAGGGTTAGCTCGGAGAGCATGATGGGAAATGTAGTTCAGATGGATCAGGAGTGTCAGGAGGAGCCATTACTGAGACAGAGGAATGTTTGGTATGCCAAGGTTAACTGGGTAACAGAAGGAGAACTGATAGCTCTACACCGTGATGTTTTATATAACTTAACTAAATGTTCCCTTTTGAAGGGACACTTTAAACATCAAAATTACTATGCTTATTGTAGTTTTACTTCCAAATTATTCATACAAAAAAACTTGCAAATTTGGATAGCAGCGACAGGCTGTGAGCACTGGGGATCATACCTCCCAAATAGTGATGTCCCGAACGGTTTGCGAACGGTTCGCCACGGACTCATCATTGAGTAAACTTTGACCCTGTACCTCACAGTCAGCAGACAGTCAGCAGCAGACCCTCCCTCCGAGACCCTCCCACCTCCTGGACAGCATCCATTGTGAAGCTGCATTCTTAGTGAGCTGTCCAGGAGGTGGGAGGGTCTGGGAGGGAGGGTCTGCTGCTGATTGGCTGGAATGTATCTGCTGACTGTGAGGTACAGGGTCATTGTTAACAGGAGTAGTCCCAGAAGATTGGAAGTTAGCGAATGTTGTGCCCATTTACAAGAAAGGTAATAGGGAGGAGTCGGGCAACTATAGGCCAGTAAGCCTTACTTCAGTAGTGGGGAAAGTGATGGAAACCATGTTAAAGGATAGGATTGATGAACATCTAAAAACACATGGATTTCAAGATCAGAGACAACATGGGTTTACTTCAGGGAGATCATGCCAAACTAATCTTATTGATTTTTTTGATTGGGTAACTAAAATTATAGATCAGGGTGGTGCAGTAGACATTGCTTACCTAGATTTCAGTAAGGCTTTTGACACTGTTGCACATAGAAGGCTTATCAATAAACTGCAATCTTTAAGTTTGGATTCCAATATTGTTGAATGGGTAAGGCAGTGGCTGAGTGACAGGCAACAGAGGGTTGTAGTCAATGGAGTATATTCAAAGCTTGGACTTGTCACCAGTGGGGTACCTCAGGGATCTGTACTTGGACCCATTCTCTTTAATATTTTTATTAGTGATATTGCAGAAGGTCTTGATGGTAAGGTATGTCTTTTGCTGATGATACTAAGATATGTAACAGGGTTGATGTTCCAGGAGGGATAAGCCAAATGGCAAATGATTTAGGTAAACTAGAAAAATGGTCAGAATTGTGGCAACTGACATTTAATGTGGATAAGTGCAAGATAATGCATCTTGGACGTAAAAACCCAAGGGCAGAGTACAGAATATTTGATAGAGTCCTAACCTCAACATATGAGGAAAGGGATTTAGGGGTGATTATTTCTGATGACTTAAAGGTAGGCAGACAATGTAATAGAGCAGCAGGAAATGCTAGCAGAATGCTTGGTTGTATAGGGAGAGGTATTAGCAGTAGAAAGAGGGAAGTGCTCATGCCATTGTACAGAACACTGGTGAGACCTCACTTGGAGTATTGTACACAGTACTGGAGACCGTATCTTCAGAAGGATATTGATACCTTAGAGAGAGTTCAGAGAAGGGCTACTAAACTGGTTCATGGATTGCGGGATAAAACTTACCAGGAAAGGTTAAAGGATCTTAACATGTATAACTTGGAGGAAAGACGAGACAGGGGGGATATGATAGAAACATTTAAATATATAAAGGGAATCAACACAGTAAAGGAGGAGACTATATTTAAAAGAAGAAAAACTACCACAACAAGAGGACATAGTCTTAAATTAGAGGGACAAAGGTTTAAAAATAATATCAGGAAGTATTACTTTACTGAGAGGGTAGTGGATGCATGGAATAGCCTTCCAGCTGAAGTTGTAGAGGTTAACACAGTAAAGGAGTTTAAGCATGCGTGGGATAGGCATAAGGCTATCCTAACTATAAGATAAGGCTAGGGACTAATGAAAGTATTTAGAAAATTGGGCGGACTAGGTGGGCTGAATGGTTCTTATCTGCCGTCACATTCTATGTAAGTTTACTCAATGATGAGTCCGTGGCGAACCGTTCGCAGCGAACCGTTCGGGACATCACTACTCCCAAATGTCCTTACTAAGGAGGGACAGTTCCTATTTTGGGTCCAAATCCCTCTGTTCCACTTTTCTCTCCTAATGATCCTCTTTCCTAGGAGCTCCATATCATTGGTGTATCCTGAGTGCAAACAGAACTCCAAAACAATAAAACTCACAGCAATGTATTTTAAATTGCAATAAATGTGTTTAGAAATCAGTCTGTGTAAATAAGATACATTGCTCTTCTTCTAAATTACATTTTAGCCTCATCAATTATTTGTAAGTCATTTAATTTTTTTTTAGAACAGCCCCCCTCTTGTCACACCCCCACTCACAACCCCTAAAAATAAATATAATGTATGTAATATATAGGTATAATATAAGTAATATACAGGAATAATACATGTAGTATACAGGTAAATAAATAAAATGTATGTAATATATAGGTACAATATAGGTAATATGTGGGTATAATACAGTTAATATATATATATAGATATATAACATATAATATATAATAATATAGATATAATACAGATAATATATTGTAGCTCCAGTGAATCCTCTTGCAATATCTGTAATATTCTGGCTAGATTCCTTTGTTTTTGTGTTCCAGAACAGACATGACAATCAGAGAAAGTATTCATCCGGGTAAAAACCTTTCTAAATAAATATCATTTGATATCTAAAACAAATGCCTTGCAGTGCCACAACAGTAGATCTAATACACCAGAGATTCGATGCACCAATAAGTATGTTCCATATTTGGCCAATGTAGCGTTTTTTTTTAAATTGCTTAATGTAATAGGGGCCTTTTAAGACAAAGAATGCATTGCACCAATTAAAGAAATCTAGATTGTGCTTAAGGATGCTTATAGGAATTTTTTTTTTATTGTAAATATCTTTTTATTAAACCTTTCGTTTTTGTTGATTTTGCAACATGTCAAAGAGAAATGTGGACTCGCAGGTCCCTCTGGTCATTCACAGAAGCTTATACATCGGAAGGCATGTGATGACATACGTGTCTGGGCGACTCGCAGGTCGCTTTCTTGAGTAAATAGCATGTGTATTGTGGACTCGCAGGTCCGGTGTTACATGGTGGTGCTTCGTACTCTGTTATATTTGATATATACCATTTCTACGTTGGGTGGTTTTGCATGCCCCACCGTTGTTGTGTTTTGTTTGTCTATTCCCCATGCCTACCCTGTAGCCTCTAGGCAGTAGTGAGACATGTGGCCATCTGGTGTGTAGGGTCCCTTCAGCCCCCAGTGACCTTGTGTCCAGGGTCCTGCCTGGCAATATTGTGGGGTGTTGGCCCCCTGCCGTAGTATGATTTGGTTCTGCCCAGCGGTATAGGTGGTGTTGATGGGAATAACCTAAGGGGCATCCTGCGACTCCCTCCAAACTAATGAGCTTTATAGCTCACAAAACAGGCGCTCTTCCACCCCCTTTACTCGCGAGGCCGCAGGCCGCCCCGGGCCCCGCAAGTGGTCGCACCCTAGCGGGTGTCGTAGCCCTCCCCGCACGCCCCCGCGCCGCCCCCCGGGTCCCCCGAACCCGCGCTCCACCCCGTTCCGACAGGGGGCGGGGGTGAGGTATCGCGTTTTGGGCCAGGTGTGAATCGTCCCGCTAGTCTCCCAGCGTCTCCTCCTGGGGATTATCAGTTCCTTCCCCCATGGTCAGTTGCATAGTCCGAAATGCCTCTGTACCCACCCGTGCCAACCATGGTGTCCATGTGTCTAAGTATGTCTGCGTTCGGTCTTGGGCTGAATACCAGATCTCCTCTGTGACTCGTAACTCCTCCATTCTAGTAAACCACAGGGAGAGTGTTGGGGTTGTGTCTTTTTTCCAGTACAAAGGTATTAGGTGTTTTGCGACGTTAAGGATTCGGATGGTCAGGGAGCGTTTGTAGCGTGATGTGGGGGTTGTCCTGTGGTGTAGAAGGTACGGGGCGGGCCGGAAGGGTGGGACATTGTCCGTGAACATAGCCACCATGGCAGCTATTTGCTCCCAGAACGGTACTATGAGTGGGCATTCCCACCATATGTGAAGAAAGGATCCCACCCCTCTCTTGCACCTCCAGCAGAGGCCATCCACGTCCAAGTGCATTCTCTGTAAGCGTTCTGGGGTCAGGTACCATTGTGTGAGAACCTTGTAGGCAGTTTCCTGGGTTTTGCTAGCGATTGCGCAATGGTGCACTAGATCGCAAATCTTGTGCCACTGGGTCTCGGTAAATGTTTCCCCCACGGCAGTCTCCCATTTGGACATGAAGGGGGGTGGGGGGTGTTCCTGTTGTCGTTGTAGCATGGAGTAGAGGTAGGAAATGCTATGGGGCATGGGCTCCGGGTCCTGGCACAGCTGTTCGAATGGCGTAAGGTCCCTATATATGTTGGGATGTTGTGGTATAGCAGTGATGTAGTTCTTAATTTGGGTGTATCTAAATTTCGTCATGAAGGGCTGGGTGGGTGTGTCCATAAGCGACTGTAGGGACACGATTTTCCCATTGGTGGTCATGTCTCGGAGTCTGGGTATGGTTTGAGGGAGGACGCAGCGGAGGCTCCCCGGTCTTACCCCCGGTTCAAACTCCGGATTGTACGCCAGAGGCAGTAGCGGGGATGGGAAGGAGGAGAGGCGTAGTTTCCTCACCTGTGAGTGCCATACGGTTAGGGTGGCGGTGATGAAGGGCTGTTGGTGGACTAGCCGCCTACCAATCAGTGGGTCCAGCCACATGAGGGCTGAAAGGGGCCTGCCTGCGTGGTGTGTTTCGATAGCCTTCCAGGGTTTGCTAATCCCCTCTTTTGCCCATTCCATGGCCCGTTGCATGTGACATGCTTGGTAATACAGTTTGAAATCAGGAACGGACAGGCCTCCTGCCGTTTTGGGGAGTGTGAGTTGTGTGTACTTGAGTCTGGGTTTAGTACCCTTCCAGATAAATTTAATGAGGAGGGTGCGGAGTGCGGAGAAGAAGGTGGTAGGGAGTTGGAGTGGTAGTGTCTGGAATAGGTAAAGTACCCGTGGGAGGATGTTCATTTTGGCAATGGCCACCCTGCCGAGCCAGGAGAAGTGAGGTGTGGCCCATTCTGTCAGGTTCTTCTGTAATGTTGCCATCAGTGGGGTGAAGTTCATATGGTAAAGTTTGGATAGGTCGGCCGTGAGCTTCAACCCCAGGTATTTTATAGCGGTGTCTTGCCATTGGAAGGGAAAATTTCGTCGGATTTGGTCTGCCCTCTTCCGGGGGAAGCCAATGTTAAGTATAGAGGATTTAGTGTAATTGATCTTAAGGTTGGCGATTTTGCCGTATGTCTTTAACTCTGCCATAAGGTTTGGGAGGGAGATTTCTGGGTTCGTTATAAAAAATAGCATATCGTCTGCATATGCTGCGATTTTGTGGTGGTCTGCCTCCACCGCCACCCCCGAGATATCCGGGTTGTCCCTTACCGCTTGTAGGAAGGGCTCCAGGGCCAGGATAAACAGAAGCGGCGACAGAGGGCAGCCCTGCCTGGTTCCATTCCTGACCGGGAATGCGTCTGTATAGACCCCATTTATGCACACCCTGGCCGTGGGGGACGAGTAGAGGGCCTCTATCCGCTGGCGCATGTGGGTCCCCAGGCCAACATGCTCCAGTACCGAGAACAGGTAATCCCACGCCACCCTATCGAAGGCCTTCTCCGCGTCCGTAGAGAGGAGGAGAAGGCTCTCCGAGGAGCGCTGAGCGTGGTGGATCAGGGAGAGGGCCCGGACCGTATTGTCCCGGGCTTCCCTGTGGGGGACGAATCCCACTTGGTCAGGTGAGATTAAGTCTGGTATGTGTGGATTCAACCTTGTAGCTATTATTTTAGCGAATAGGCGTAGGTCGCAGTTAAGCAACGATATCGGTCGGTAGCCCGTGCACCGTTCGGTATCTCCCCCCTCCTTTGGCAGCAGGACAATATTGGCCGCTAGTGTTTGCTGGGGGATAGTATTTCTCTCTGTTATAGAGTTGAAGGCTGAGATAAATTGAGGGGACAATGTGGCCAGGAAGGTTTTATAGTATTTGAGAGGGAGACCGTCCGGGCCTGGGCTTTTGCCGGTCTTCGAGGATTTGATGGCTAGGGCCAGTTCCCCCTCCGTCAGGGGCGCCTCCAAAGTCTCCGCTGCGTCTGAGGAGAGTTTAGTTTTAGTGTATTTAGTGAGGTATGCGTTCATGCGGGTCGTTCCCACGTTAGGGTCCGCCCGAGGGGCGTGGGGGGGAATCGCGTAAAGGTCCGTGTAGAAGCGGGTTACAGCTGTAGCGATTTGATCTGGCATGTGGTGTAGTTGGCCTGCGGCGTCGCACATGCGTGCAATATATGTCATGGAGCGTTTTTTGTTGATCATTCTGGCCAGCAACCTGCCGCACTTATCCCCTTCTGTGTAGAAGAATGATTTAGTGCGCTGGAGGGCCCTAGTGTACGATTGCCGCAGGGTCCGTGCTAGTTCTTCACGGGCTGCTGTGAGTTCCCCGAGAAGTGTGTTGTCTAGTGTTTGCTTGTGGGCCTGTGTTAGGGTCCCTATCTTGGCCGTTAGTTCTCGGATCGTGTGGTCCCGTGCCTTCTTCAGGGCAGAGGAGTGTGAGATGAGAATCCCACACTTATCACACACTTGTGGGCCTCCCATGTCAAGAGGGGGGATGTGTCCTGTGGTAAGTTCTCGGTGAAGTAGTTCGTCAGGGCTTGTTGTACGTCTTGGGCCACCTGCGGGTTGGATAGGAGGTTTTCGTGGAGCCGCCATGTCGTGGTTTTGGGTTTGTGTAGTGGCGATGTGAGTTGGATCGTGAGTGGTGCGTGGTCGGACCACATGGACCCCCCTATGGCAGAGTCCCGCAGTCTGGGTAGATAGCAGTATGGCAGAAAGAAGTAGTCGATGCGTGTGTAACAGTCATTCGGGGTCGAGTAGAAGGTGTAGTCCCTAGCTGTCGGGTGTGTCGCCCTCCAACAATCTGTAAGCCTGTACTGGTGGAGAACTTTACGAATTTTAAGCAGTGTGGGGGGGGTGTCGATGAATGGCCCCTGGATGCGTCCATTGTCGGGTGTAGAGCAATGTTGAAGTCCCCACCCAGGACCAGACAGCCCGTCGTGAAGTCGTGGAGGGCCCGGAGTGTGTCCCGGAGGAATCTGTCCTGTCGTGTGTTTGGGGCGTAGATGTTGGCAAAGGTATAGGTTTCATCCAGGATTTTACCCCTAACGAATACGTATCTGCCCAAGTTATCAGTCATGGTCGAGTCAGCTACAAAGGGTATGGATTTGTGCAGGAGTATTGCTGTCCCCATAGATTTCCCATCTGGGTTATTGCTGTAGAAGCCTTGGGTGTATATATGGTTGCAGAGTTTCAGAGCAGCGTTGGTTTTAAAGTGGGTTTCTTGGAGGTAGACCACATGGGCTCTAGTTTTCTGACCGAGGCGTAGCGCGTGTGACCTCTTTTCGGGGGAGTTTAAGCCCTTAGCGTTTAGGGATAAGAAGTTGAGTGGGGCCGGTGCGTATTTGGGTGCGGGTGTAGCCATAATGTCAAGTCCCGTGGGTGTCGAAGTCGCCCCGGTCAGTGGAGGCCTAGGTAGGTAGAGCCCGGCCCGGGGGCAAGCGGGGCGGAGCGGATGTCTCCGCACGGTGGATCGCAGAGGGGGCCGCCCCGCAATGGAGCAGAGGCACCGGTGTCAGGGGGGTAGAGATCCCCCGGCCCGGAGACCGGAGTGGGGGATGGCCTCCCCTATACAGTAGACACCGACCTCACGGGGAGTGGAAGGCGCCTTGTCAACCCGCCAACAGCGGCGGCTGTGGATCAAAACAAACACCAACAGGTGTAACTTAAACCTGTGAAAACTGCTGTCGCGCCCCCGGGGCGAGTCTCCCAGGGTATGGTCGAGTACCAGCTGTAACTGTAACCTGTTGTGTGTCTGAAGGGACTCGCACCCGGGTCCCGACGTTGTCCTGTCTGAAGGGAAGATGTACTAGCCTACCCAGGGCGTAACCCCCTTTCTACTGTGCGGGTGTTTAGGGTGTTGGTGGACCCCCCCCCTCCCCCAACCCGTTCCCCCTATGCACATCAGTGTAGCCCCGTTGTGGCGTTTCTCCATCCCTAAAAGTGGTATGGAAAGCCTGTGTCCCCCCGAATTGCATCCCGGTTAACGGACCCCCTTGTGGGTTCCCCCTTCTGTGTGGTGGTGGGTTGTGTCGCTCTGGTTGCAGCACGTCTCTGGGTTGTGTACGCGGGTGCTCATACCATATTGCGTATAGAACTGTACCCAGGTGTAGCGTGGTCTGGCACCTATCCAGTGTTGCATGCGAACCCCTAGACCCTGGGAACTTCCGCATGCGCCGAACCTGTGGTATGAGTGATAGCCAGGCATGGGACGTGCAGGAGCATACGTCGTGTTGTACCCAGTCCCATGGTGCTAGTGGCGTGTACGGGTGTGTGCGCAGGGTGACATGTGTACCAAGGAGCACTGTGTTAGCCTGTGCTGGCAGATCTACACTTATATACACATTCACATATATACACAATATATACACAATGGTTCATGTAGTGCAGTATACAAGTCTAACATAAGCAGGCGCATACACCATATTATACAGATATAAAGCAAGGGAGGGTACTAGAGGGGCATGTCCAAAAGGGAGCCCCACGAATAGAAAGACCTAAGAACAGCTCCTAGGAAAAACATATCATGTTATATACAATGCAATGGACAGTTTGAGCATGCGCGGGCGTGCATATGGGGCTATACACCAGCCAGGGAGCAGTGTGAGCATGCGCCGACACGTTTACAGCGGTCAATGTAATGCAATGGACAATTGTGGCGTGTGTGGGCGGTTATGCCATGGTACCCGCTCTGCGATGAGCAGTTGTAGTGATGGCAGGCGCAGAAACAGTGGTGTGCAGCGGGGGGCGGGGTAGTCGTGACCTGTGCGTGCGGGTGAGATGCAGCGCCGCGGATAATTATAGCATGCGCTGGCACATAAGCGTTGGGCACTTGCAGCATGCATGGGCGCATGTGCCACAGAGACACAGTGCAGTAGGTGCTCCCAGCGGGCCAGTGTCAACATTGGCGGACATTACCATGTACCACAGTCCCATGGGCCACATCTCCCGCCCCGCCCCACCCCATCGGGGCAGACTGGGCCCCCATGTCTGGCTGTACGTGAGGTGTGACTCAGCAACTGTCCGCCCGGCATAAGGTGCAGTTCTGTGGGGCGGAGAGACATGGTGCCAATGTGGGGTGTCCAATCGGTAGGTTGGCTAAGTTCGTATCTGGAGACAGCGTCTATGCCCTGGAACGGGGCTATTTGTGCCCTAGAGAGGGCCAGGCTGGTGTTGGGCGCATTGTGGGGGGGAAGGAGGGAAAGTCATGCCCTCTAACGGGCGGTACCTGTGGGCCTAGTGGCCTCCTGGCGTCCCCCTCTAGTGCGTTGCGGCAGCGCCGGTCTTGGGTAGGGGTTTCTTGCGGCGGTGTAGATGTCCAGTGGGTCAGGCCATCTCATGTTGATGGCGGGCAGTTGGAGCTCCGTGCCCAGTGCTATGTAGTCGCTGTGTGTGCGGACCAGGAATGGACC